GATGGTGGTTAGGCGTATCGAACAGCAAGTTCGATATTTTGGTCTTTTTAGCTTAGTGGTACTGAGCCTAACCGCCACTATTCTAACATCGGGATCGTTGATCCCGAATTATATGACCTTTTGGCCTTGTGGAATAGGGTGCCCTGGCTCTATCTCTTACATATATATTAAATATAGTCTATTTAAATTATTTTAATATAAATTTAAATAGATAGAATATAAATTATTATTTTTAATATAATATTAAAAAATCTTTATCTATATAAATTATAGTAATTTTTATAATTACATTTTTTTAAATTGAATAGAAGTATAACTAGGCCCTAAGCTTGATATCTCTTATACGGAGTATGTAGCTATCTCAAGCCATATTTGTCAAATTGTAGTACTCAGGCGGTGAGCTTCTCTCCACTTTAAATTTCCAATACTATGGAGTAGTATCTCGGAGACTCAGAGATATACTACCAAAGTACCAAAGATCAACCGACCAGTTTTCTTGCGGATGGGTAAAATATTATTATTGGTCAGCTTCTTTAGACATCGCCGAAGTCGCTCATGGGTAGTACTAGTACTACTAGTAGTACCCACCCTACCTAGTTGATTCATACCTTTGGCAGAAGTGCTTTCGCGACCATGAAACATTCTTAAACGTCTGTTTCTTGTATCGTCCCGTTGTTCCCTTCTCTTCGCAGTGGCCTTGATTGTCTGAAAAAGTCTATTTTATCCCTTAAATATTCGATCAACCTCCACTCTCATCATGCTCCAGGACATCGGGGGCCCTGTACCTCCTAATACTGACCATGTATGTTGCAGCCTTTTCCCTACCCCGCCTGGCCTTTGCCGTTCTTAAAAACAAACACTCCATCATGAGTATTCTTTTAATCTACTACCACTGCCGCAATGCCTAGCCCTGCACACAAAATACCTCATATCACTAATGGAAACAAAGGCAGTCAGTGTATCGCTTCCAACATGGAAAGCCAATGTCGGTTACGAAGAAGGAGAGCCGTGGGTTATGAGTAAGATGCAATGCGGTTATCCTCGATTCTTCGTACACCCGACTATTAAAGAACTTGCGAAAGAGGTCGTGCAATGCTACGGAAATCCGAACACGGAGTCCGCCATGTTGTTTCCTTCCTCCAAGGCTGCGCATATTTGTCGTTCATTTATCCTGTCGAATTTATCTACAGACGACTCGCATAGCGTGCGTATTATAGAATTTGTCCCTTCTCCACGTCCAAAATCTGAGTCAGCAAACGTCACTTCGCTCTTGTCATGTGTGATATATCCAAATGAACTTGGACCGGTTGCGAAGCAAGTATGGCAGCATACGGGCAATGGTGTGTCAAGCCGTCGAGGTGAATTCTGTCTCAGTGCATTGAGAGACGGTTTTCTTGTGGAAAAGAAATCCACTGCGACAGAAACTGTAGCCCAGCGGATATGTAAAGGTCCGCGAAGATACCAGGGAAAGAGCACGGTGAATGGTGCTTTTCGGGTAGGTGGGACGCATCCCTCACCAACGGATTCGTCGATGGCCACGGATGGTGTACGGGATGGGCGAGAACATATCCAGTTCATCGAAGAGCGTTTTGGCCGGAATTTGAATACTTCCCTAGCGGACCAAGCAAAAAGAGCTGTGCGCAAACGTATCGCAGGTGTCCTAAAAGCGGATGTGGAACTGAGTGAAGCTCTCAACGCAACGTCTGAGGAGGGAAGAGTAGCAGGGTTAACAGAGTCTGATGTGTTCCTTTTCCCCACTGGTATGAGCTCAATCTTCAACTCCCATCAGATGCTGTTAGCTGCCAGAGGTGCCATGAAAAGCATATGTTTTGGTTTTCCTTACATTGACACGCTGAAAACTCTTGAAAAATGGGGGCCTGGTTGTTTATTCTATGGAAATGGCTCGTCAGAGGACATAGACGACTTAGAGGCGCGATTAGACTCTGGGGAAAAGTTCCTCGCAGTCTTCACTGAGTTCCCTGGCAATCCTTTGCTTAAGTCCCCGGATCTCAAACGTATCCGTTCTCTCGCAGACAAATACGACTTCGCAGTGGTTGTGGACGAGACAGTGGGGAGTTTCCTCAACATCAATGTGCTGCCATATGCCGATATTGTGGTCAGCAGTCTAACAAAAATCTTCAGCGGAGACAGTAATGTCATGGGGGGTAGTGCTGTGCTCAATCCACATGGGCAATACTATTCATCTCTCAAAGACACGTTTGCCCGTGACTATGAGGATAATCTCTGGGCTGAAGACGCAATTTTCTTGGAAAGGAATAGCCGCGATTTTGTATCAAGAATCGAGAAGATCAATAGCACCACCGAAGAGATCACAGAAATGTTACAAAGCTCATCACTTGGTAAGTGCTCTTCCACCTTTTCAGTTCAAACAGCATGCGTCTGACTTGAGACACAGTGAAAAACGTCTTCTACCCCAAATGTAACCCTTCAAGGCCCTTATACGAAGCCTTTCGCCACCCCAGTGGTGGCTATGGTGGTCTGTTCTCTGTTACTTTCTACTCAACGGCCCAAGCTATTGCTTTCTTTGATCACCTAGAAGTCCTCAAAGGCCCCAGTCTCGGTACCAATTTTACTTTGAGGTTAGTATTACCGCACGAATTCTTAATCCTGAAGAAGATTGTATTAACTAAAAAATTCAGTTCGCCATACACTTTATTAGCCCACTACGGTGAGCTTGGATGGGTATGTCGATTTTCTTCTCAGTTCTCTCTATTACTGTCTCCCCGTCCATCTCTAATGCTCCTACCTAGGCAAGCTCTTTTGGTGTAGAATTTGACCTGGTGAGGATAAGTGTTGGCTTAGAGGATATTTCTGATCTTCGCTGTCGGTTTCAACGGGCATTGGAGGCCGTAGCAAAGGTCAAGACGTAGAGAGAAGGAGACAATATCTCACTACCAGTATCCTTCCAGACTGTATCTGCTACACTTTCGATAATGCATGAATAATGATTCAGATGAATCTAACGAGAGAAGGGGAGCCAATGGTCACGTCCTGTCACTTTTAACTGAATTGGAAGCATACTATGCCTAAAGCACTGACTTCAATGCCAGGACAAGCTAAGTCTGAAAGACATCTTCTAGTATCATTCCTAGTATGCTGGTAAATAATTGTCAAACTATTGAGATTCCATCTTAAGCCCCCTTGGCGGACGTTTACCCATGTTTCATTTTGCCGGTATACATGACATACTCCCTATAAAGTCACTGTACATACTACAAAGTATGAGATAGGGATATCTTGGGTTGGTTGGGCAACTAGTGTGGAAAAGAAGAATGGACTTGATCTGGTAGCGATGATGAAGTTACTAATATTTGCGAGGAATCGAGATATTGAGGAGATTGACGTTGTAAGTCCATTGGCTCTAGCAGTGGTACAGTACTTTTATTGAAACGTCTCGTAATTACGCTATATAGCCTCTCGTAAGTTACTACTCAATCAGGCTAGGCTGTGTCTAATGATCAGACCCTGTCACGGGACTCGCTGCTTGGAGGAAAAAGCTAATGTTCGAATCTCCAAGAGCGTTTGTACCTTTGGAACCTGGCTTCAACGCGGTTAGAAAATAATGCTATAGATCTGACTTGCGAAAGTATGTTCTCAGGCATTTCCACATATTATGCACCCCCCATAATGCTCTTAATTTTAGATCTAGTTGCTAACACTCTCCGTCGTTCTAGTTTACCCTGGATTGAAATCAGCCTACACCGGTGATCTAGGGTTCTTTCAGCATAACTTCAATCCGAGGACCTAGATAGGAAGTGAAAAGAAAATGGCAACTTGTCTTACTGCTCCCAAACGGTCGTTTCTAGCCCTGCCGTTTCTTTTTCCGTCTTCGTGCGAGTCGATCACTTTGCAAACACGCCGGCATCAATCCTCGTATAGACGGACGAAACAGCGCCTACGTGTCAAGCCAGATGCATCATTTGGTGTTTCGTCCACCCAATTTCATGATCAAATCATTTATAATCCGCCTTCAAGCGCTCCCTCGGTATACCATACACCGACGAAATTTCTCCCTCTCGATGATGTTCGGAGAACCTTCCGTGGCGCTTCCATGAACAGTGGGAATTCCGCTCAACTACCCTCTGTATTCAAAACATCTGTGGAGAAGAAATATCATTTGAAGCCTTCGGACATAGAGGAGATCCGCAGACTGCGACTAAGCGACCCGATGACTTGGAGCCGTTGGAAACTGGCTAAGCGCTTCGACTGCTCTCCAATGTTCATTGCTATGGTATGTGAAGCTGGCCCACAGAAGAAGGAAATTCAGAAACAAGTCTTAGAAGCGGTACAATCAAGATGGGGTACAAAGCGTCGGATGGCTAGAGAAGACCGACAATTGCGAAAAGAATCCTGGGGAAGAGATGAATGAAGGAGGGCCCCCTCTTGACTTAACTCTAGCCCATCGATCTTCCTTGCTTTGGTTTTTTTGGGGGGTCCAATTGATTCGACACTTGCGGAATCTCTTGTCCATGGCCTATGGGAAGATCACAGATGTTATATCAAAACTTGTATTCTAGCTCTAGCGTTACTGTATTAGATTCCATATTGTATCTACTATGCTAGAACCTCACTGGGTTCCAGTAAGTCTTCCTTATGTACTTACTACTAGTGGTATCACAAGAGTACATTGTCGCTTAGTTGCGGCATAGAGGTCGCGTGTTATTATCTTTTAGCGCTTCAATTATTAAATTGTTAGGTAAACTTCCCCTCCCAACCAGCAAATCGTGTCACTTCGATTTTCTTCCACACGCACCCAAATGCCCCTCCTCCCCCGTCGCGTCGCAACGTCACTGAGGGGATATAAGCCTTTTCCACCTTTCTCAATTTCCACTAAAGAATATTGGACACCATATTTTCCATTCTTAGGGACACCTTACTTCTCCTGTCGCCGCTCTTTTTACGGACATATCAGTGATCGAAAAATGGCACCACAGCTTGATCCATTTTTTAAGCAGTAAGTTTACTTCTCTGATCCTCTATTGTTTTATTGTCTCTCTCTTTCTCCACCGTTATCCTCCAGTACCCAAAAAGTGGACATATGTTAAAGGCCTGGTGCCCCATCTGCATAGGGTTGACGGCCTTGCTGAATCTTTCATCGAGCGTAAGTTGAGTGTTGCCTACTCTATCTACCCATGAAGCATGCTGACAGAACTCAAGGTCTGCGAAAGGCTGTGGCGATCCCTTCTGTTTCTGCACAAGATGAGAACAGGAAGGACGTTTTCAGAGTACGTGATACTCTATTACTTCTTACAAATAGAATTAACACATGACCTTTCCCTATAAAGATGGCTCAGTTTCTTGCCTCCGAGTTGGAGGCACTTGGCGCTGAGGTGCATCAAAGGCCGCTGGGAAAACAGCCTGGGAAGGAACACCTTGACCTACCCCCAGTTGTCATCGCTCGGTATGGCAATGATAAAAACAAGCGAACCATCCTAGTTTACGGTCATTACGATGTCCAGCCAGCGTTAAAAGAAGACGGATGGGCCACTGAGCCTTTTCAATTAACGGTTGACAGCCAAGGAAGGATGTACGGCCGCGGAAGTACAGACGACAAAGGCCCCGTCTTGGGATGGTTGAATGTGATCGAGGCTCATAGAAAAGCTGGTGTTGAGCTGCCGGTCAACCTTCTTTGCTGCTTTGAGGGCATGGAGGAGTATGGCTCGGAAGGATTAGAGGAGTTTATTCAAGCTGAGAGCAAAAGCTTTTTCAAGGATGCGGATGCTGTCTGCATATCAGACAATTATTGGCTTGGAACAGAGAAACCCTGTCTAACCTATGGCTTGCGAGGCTGCAACTATTACTCTGTCAGTGTCACAGGGCCCGCTCAGGATCTTCATAGCGGAGTTTTCGGTGGATCTTCCCATGAGCCTATGACAGATTTGGTCCATGTGATGTCTAAACTTGTTGATACTCATGGCAACATCTTAGTACCCGGCATCATGGACCTTGTTGAGCCATTGACAGAGGAAGAAAAGGCCCTCTATCCCAATATCAGCTACACAATGGATGACCTTCATCAGTCCCTGGGGAGCAAAACTAGCATTCACCCAACGAAAGAAAGAACGCTCATGGCTAGATGGAGGTATCCATCTTTGTCGCTTCATGGCATCGAAGGCGCATATTCGGCCCCGGGCGCTAAAACAGTTATACCAGCGAAGGTCATTGGTAAATTCTCGATTCGGACTGTCCCCAATATGGAAAGCAAAGATGTGAATAAACTCGTCTTCGATTACATCAAGGCGGAATTTGCAAAGCTGAATAGCAAGAATACTTTGGACGTGTGGCTGCAGCATGATGGAAAATGGTGGGTTGCCAGTCCCAAACACTGGAACTTCAGTGCTGCAAGCAAGGCAGTGAAGCAGGTATTTGGTGTTGAGCCAGATATGACACGTGAAGGTGGCAGGTATGTTTTCTCGCAAGTTCTCGATGCCATGACTAAAGCTAACGCAAACAGCATTCCTGTCACCTTGAGCTTTGAACAGGCGACTGGCAAGAATGTTTTGCTTTTGCCGATGGGCAGCTCAACTGATGCTGCTCATTCCATCAACGAGAAGCTTGATAAGAGGAATTACATTGAAGGGGTAAAATTGCTTGGTGCCTACCTCCACTATGTTGCAGAAGAGCCTATGGTGGCGGCATAGTTGTAAATCAGCAGCTCTTTCTTATAAGACTCAGTCAGCTATTATTGATCACCGCGTCCATACATTATGTGATTTTGTTTCACTGCTCATTATGTAAAAAAGCCCGTGACGAGAAAAGTAAGAAAGCAAATTTCAAAGTGAAATGAATATTTCGACGTACGGTGAGTGACATAGTGGGGTACCAGCCATTGTGAGCAGAGATTCTGCCGCTTTCTTCATCGCTCTCTCCCCCTGGTGGGCTATAGATACTTTACCTTCGTTCAGCATCTTCTCTAAACTATCCCCTAAACAATCTGAGACGCCACCGAAGCATCCTCATAAATACCTAGATATATATGGAAGATGATCGTTCGCTTACTAGTTCCTAGCAGGGTGTTCTAGGGATTGTTTTAAAGATACCTGACAAAAGTAGAACATCGTGTATTGATTGATGTACCTCATAAGTTGCCCCGGCCATGTATATCTCCTTCTATGTCTAGCTAGTAAAAATCTAATTACTATCCATAAAAGCAGCCTGATTCTATTAACAATTTAAATAATAGATATTATATGAAAACCATTAGATTTAATTAATTTTTTCTCTTAAAAAATTAAAAATAAAAAAAAAAAATGTAGAAAGTGCTACCTAAATTTCATCTAGGCCTTTACGAGGAAAAGTTCAGTCATTCTAAGCTATTCCTAATTTGTAGAGGACCTGCACTGCTGAGATAACGGAAAACCAATTCGGGCCATTTACGCGACTCAATACGGAGTACGCGTTTCAAGCTTATCGGGTACATATGACCTTCTTTCGCATCGGATGAGTTTTATTCGACTTGATCAGAAGGTCACTAGATCCTGTGCAGTGGCTTCTAATACCATCTTTTTATCTTTGTAACTGCTTCTGGTATAAATGAATACTGATTATCTGTATGAGCCGGCCGCGTTTTACCGATGTCATCGTTAAAGCGCCCACAGGGACCCTCGGAGCCGGGGGAATGGGATGAAGGAGAGGATAACATGCCAAGGTCATCGTCCAGCGCGCATCATTTGGTGTGTATTCTTCGTGTCTCGTCTTATACACCAACTAACGCTCATGGGAAGCGCAAACGTATTCGCACGTCCGAGTCTCTAGCCTCATACGAAGGCACCGAAGTGAGTGACAGTGAAAATGAAGAAAGAATTCAGCGGTCTATCACCCAGGCTTTAGAATATGACGAGGACGAGCTTGAGTTACGTGCAACGCAACTCATCCAGGAGAAGTACTCTTTCGCTAGTGACGAACCCAATGTTCCTGCTGAACATGGCATTCTTGAACGTGTCGAATGCTACAACTTTATGTGTCATGACCACTTCTATATCGAACTGGGGCCATTGATTAATTTTATAGTTGGGAAGAATGGCAGCGGCAAGAGCGCAGTACTAACAGCTATAACTCTTTGCCTGGGTGGCAAAGCATCTGCTACAAATCGCGGTCAGAGTCTTAGGAGTTTCATCAAAGAAGGCAAAGAGTACGTGCGTTTATCACTATACAGGTCACATGCTTACTAGGCGATGTTCTGTAGGAGTGCAACTATCGTTGTGCGCATTAAAAATCAAGGAGACGGTGCCTATATGCCGGATGATTATGGAAAATTCATTGTCATTGAACGTCATTTCACGAAAACTGGAACAAGTGGCTTCAAAATCAAGGCAGAGAATGGGCGTATAGTTTCTACCAAAAAAGCCGAACTGGACGCTATCATTGACTTTTTCACATTACAATTTGACAACCCGATGAATGTTCTCTCACAAGACATGGCCCGCCAATTTTTGAGCAGCTCAAGTCCTGCTGAGAAATACAAATTCTTTGTGAAAGGTGTTCAGTTGGAGCAGCTTGATCAGGACTACCGACTGATCGAAGAATCTGCTGATCAGATTGAGGAGAAGCTTAGGGGGCGAGAGCAAGATATCATGATCCTAAAAAACCGCAAAGTTGCAGCAAACCAGAAATTGGACATATCTGATCAACACGAATCCCTAAGGAACAGAGTCAGAATTGTCCGGAGCCAAATGGCTTGGGCTCAAGTCGAGGAACAGGAAAGAGTAAGAGGCCCAGGCATTATGGTTTAGTAATCTGGTGTTGCTGATGGACCGTAGATGAGGAGCTCCTTAGAGATTGAACTAGCTAAAGCCGATGAGCGGATTGCAACCGCTGAAGCTGAGCTAGGCAGCTTTGACGCTGCTATACGAGAAGCTGAGGAGGAAACTGAAGCCGCTGCTGAATACGTTAGACAGAGTACTGCTAAACTCGACCACGCACAAAGTGAGAAGGTGGAGATTAAAGCTAGGTGGGACGAACAAATGACTGAACGTCATGATTTGCAGGTAATGTTCCATTATAAATCTTCCGGGCTTTTACTAATAGTCATTACAGGCACAGCAACGTCAGATACGAGATTATTTAAAAGCAGCAGAAGCTAGGATAAACGAAACGCAACAAAAGATTGAAGAAGAAATCCAACGTCTGGCTGACCTCAGCGGAGGCAGTTATACTAGAAAGCAGGAACAACTCGAGCGAGCAAAAGCAGAAGCTGCACATGCCAGCACACAGTATGAGGAATATCAACGCAATACAGATCGCCTATACAGAGAGTTGGAAGTGGCTAGGAAAGAAGCGGATTCATTGGCGGCGCCACTTGGCAGAACGAAGGCCGACGTTGAGCAAGCTGAGAAACTTTTACGAAGTCTAAGCAAAGAAGGAGGACCCAAAACCTCGGGTTTCAACGACAAAATGCCGTCTCTCCTGAGGGCTGTTCAACAAGAACAGGGCTTCACCGAAAGGCCTGTCGGTCCCATCGGTCGCCATGTGACCTTACTGAAGCCAGAATGGTCATCTATTTTAGAGAACTCTTTCGGCACGACATTGAACAGCTTCATTGTAACATCTAAAAGAGACATGGATATCCTTTCTCGTATTATGCACAATGTCAACTGGTACGTCCCCACTCTCCGTGGTTTTACAGACCATAAATTTTTAACAGTGCTGGAAGCATATGCCCAATCTTTATAGGAAATGGTGGGTACATTGATACATCAAAACACGAGCCTGATCTTAAGTTTGATACAGCTTTACGGGTACTTCAGGTAGGTGTCTTTAAATCGCAGAGCCAGCTACATTAGGTTAATATACTCGAATATGCAGATTGATAACGAACTCGTTCGTCGACAGCTGATCATTAACCATGGTATTGAGCAAATGCTTCTAATCGAAAAGCTAGAAGAAGCCTCTTCAGTTCTCTTTGATGGACAGAAACCTAGGAATGCGAAGCGGTGTTACTGTATTGACCAAATGGACAGACGCCGGGGCATCCATCTATCTTACAACCGTGTGGGAGAACCAAGCCAGGCGCCGGTTCCTGTATATAGTGGCAACCCACGAATGAAATCGGATCTAGCTTCACAAATCAGGTGATCCTTAAATATGTCCATTACCTCACTTATCCACTGACATTTACTCCCGCAGTTCAACATGGTGTAGTAACGGACCTCAGACGGAAACTCAGCGATCAGGAAGAGCAATTCCGATCTGCTCGGTCTCGCTTGGAGGGCTGCAAGCAGGCTCGTATGAGGCATGAAAAGAGTATAAATGAGCTACGAATCACATTACAAAGGAAGGAAGACCATGTGGAAGAGCTCACAGATGCACTCGACAAAGAATCTGTGGAGGCTGACCATCTTGATGTGCTGCGAGCTACGCTCCAGGGGGCCAAGGAAGAGAAACGCATCAACGAAGGGTCATTGAAAGACAGTGTGGAGGCCATGGAAACCATGATGAAAGGGCTTAAAGCCATTAAACAACAAATCACTTCTAAGGATGCCGATATAGCTGTGTCGACGGAAGAGCTCCGTGTAACTCAGAGTGAAGTATGCACCGGGCAAGACAAACGCCGAAAGATCATTAACGATAAAAACATTGCGGTTGAACGAATCAATGATAGCAGAGAAGAAAAAGAGAGGATAAGTAAGAAAAGAGAAGAAATTTCTGCACGCGTTATCGACTTCATTGAGAAAGCCAGTCTAGTCTCACCGCGGGTTGCAATTCCTGAAGGTGAGACTGCTGCTAGTTTGGACAGAAAGCTGGACAGGCTTAATAGGGATATACAACGTTATAATCAACAGTCAGATACTTCGAACACACGGTTCCAAGATTCTTGAACTAACTAACTACTAGATTGGGCGCATCTCGCGATGAGATCGCCGCTGAAGCCGCCAAAGCATCCACTGCCTATGACCGGGCCCTTAAGCAAGTGGAGGAATTCAGGTTACTTGCGGATGTATAATTCACCCTCCCCCCCTTCTCTTTTATATTTTTTGCCCTTGTACAGGGGACTCAAGTCTGTTGACTGTATCTGCAGATTCTCATTGAAACACTCAAACATCGCAAGAAACGTTGGGTAATTTTCAGATCTCACATTTCATCTCGGGCCAAGGCGCAATTCACGTACTTACTAAGCGAGAGAAGTTTTCGTGGTCGACTTCTAACTGACCATGAGAGCAAGCTGCTGGATTTACAGGTATATTATATAATGCTGTTCTTGTCTTCTGACACAATTTAACAAAGCTTTCTAGGTCGAACCTGATATAACAAAGGATAGCACTGGGCGGGGTGCAAAGACGCTTTCCGGCGGTGAAAAGTCTTTCTCTCAGGTTTGTCTTTTATTAGCACTTTGGGAGGCTATGGGCTCTCCTGTCCGCTGCTTGGATGAATTGTAAGTTAGTGATAATCAGGCGCATTGACTGTCACTAACTTTGACCTAATAGCGACGTGTATATGGACCACATTAATAGGAAGATGGCAATTGATATGCTTGTACGTCTCTTTCTTTACACATCATTTCCAATTCCTGTTACACTGTGCTTGCTAACAAAACAATCAATAGATGCTAGCCGCTAGGCGGTCAGTAGGTGTGCAATTTATACTAATCACACCTGGCTCAAGGGCAGAGATTAGTTTAGCTCCTGATGTCCGTGTAAAGGAGTGAGTATAAGTATCAAGACCAGACATAGCTATCAGTACTGCAACTAACAAGTGCCTTTCTTTTAGATTGGCAGAGCCTGAACGAGGCCAGACCACATTAACATTTCGCCGGTGATCGGAATAGGTACACTCTGTTTTGTACAGAACATTTTACAAATTAAAACAATCTACGTGGGCTGATGTCTACGAAGACTGTGTCATTATGTGGACAAGAATATATGCCTCAAGGTGGCCCTAATTCCCCATAAAGCACGATAATTTCCGCCATATACTACCCCACCCTCTCAAACCTGCACACCCTCCGCCATCGGCGGGCAAAGAAGGGGGGGGGGGGGGGGATCCGTATGAAAGGTAATAAGCATGGAACTAGATTATCGAGAAAGATAGATTTGCCAAACATAGACTACATGTCTGAATGTCTGAGCGTCCGGGTTATTGGTTTAATTGATCCAATTGGTGCAGATCAACTGGAAGGCCACTACTAAAACAAGCACCTTGCTCTGGGGATATCTTGAATGACCCTTGATCTCAAAAGCGGGACTCTTGCGTCCGGCAAGCTGCCAGGACCTGGGCAAGGAACTGAAAGAGAGCGTGGTGGGCGGCTATAGCTCTCCCGATAGCCTAGCATCACGAAATAACAAAGTCAATCAGTAATTGGGAAAACCACATAAATCCATACGTCTCCCTGCTTATTCATGGATTAACCTACCCAGAAGCTGGTTCGGGATATTTTTATGGCATCTCGATGGTTGGATGCTGGGGGCATTTTATTACAGATAGGGCTGAAAACACTTGCGTCATGGTGGGGAAATGCAGCAGCTGTCGAGAGGTCCTGTCAGGCAAGGCATTTTATCATCTAACACGATTGATAGTGTATTAGACTGCGATTTAATAGGTCTGCATAGACTGGCAGGAGCACATTGCCGGGATACAAGAGTTAATATAATTGATAACTACTGTATATAACTACTTTCACATGTCAAAACAGGCATGGCCCTTGTGGTATAAGCCACACACTTATTTCTTCAGCTTCGGCCATATTGCTGTCCTCATATTAACTATCAAAATAGGATATAGTGCGGTGGCTCTACCTACTAGTAGGGCTGCCAGTTCACTGGACCTTATAGTATACAGGTACCGGTTAACATTGTCACGTGGGGTGTAATGTACCTAAAAGCGGCATCGTTCCGAGTTGTAAATCGATGTTACTGGTAATAGTGGAGAAAGACTGAGCTCATTGGAGTTGATCTTCTTGCGGTTAGCCGTACTACTCCAGGGCTAGAGGTCAGTAAAGGCGGCGAGGCTACTGCCCACTCACCACAGAAGTTTTCATTCATAATCTTTCACCTTCATTGTACTTCGCACTACAGGGTAGCTCATCCTTCTCATCCGTGAAATACCAGACACGACTCTCACAACATTCAATATATTGTTTGAGATCTTGGGGAGCTTGGTGCTATCTCACCTATCTTCATTGGTGCCTCTAATTTACACTAGCCAGTGTCTCTCCTTTACAGCTCAAACTAGGTCACTCACAGCCAACCTTGCCTTGGCACCCACAAGCAATCTCACTCAACCCAGACGCAAACACGCTCGATATTGTCTGTTCACTGTGCTCTTTCCCGCATATTCTACCTGACTTCCCGAGAGAATCACGCATTTTCTGAGTCTGCAAAAGGCCAAGTTGCAACCAAGTCCACCTATAATACCTTCGGCCCCCTCTTACATTCATTGGAACCTCCCATAAGGTTTAGAACAGCAGAAACCATCATTCGTCTTAGCTTTGACCCTCTCGACTTCATTGTCTACGATATCGTGAGGCCTATTCTTACGAACACTTTCGACACCCGAGACTTCTTTCTCCATTATCCTTCATCTGGGCAAGCGATTATCACCATGGCCGAAGCTCTTGCCTCACAGCTTAACAACACAACATTAGGGTATGTGCTTATGCGTGTTCCGTTGGGCTTAGACAAAGTTACTTAGTAGTGTCATTATAGGGAAGCAAGCTCAGACATAAGGTGGAAGGACCAACTAAAAGCCCCTGCAAAAGATGCACGGCCACAGACCGAGGTTTGCTGCCTCTAACGTCTACGTTATATCTTCAAAGTCTAACCCCAATTTAGGACGTGACGGCCACTAAAGGCCTCGAGTTTGAAGATTTCTATATTAAACGCGAACTTATGATGGGCATATTCGAAGCTGGTTTCGAAAAGCCCTCTCCTATCCAAGAAGAAACAATACCAGTTGCTCTTACTGGTAGGGATATTTTGGCCCGAGCAAAGAATGGCACCGGAAAGACAGCGGCCTTCGTCATCCCCACATTAGAACGCATAAATCCTAAAAGCACCAAAACGCAAGCACTCATCCTTGTTCCAACCAGAGAGCTTGCGCTCCAAACGTCTCATGTTTGTAAAACTCTCGGAAAACATCTGGGGATCAACGTAATGGTCACCACTGGAGGAACTGGTTTGATGGATGACATCATCAGGTTGAACGACGCTGTCCACATCCTTGTGGGAACTCCAGGCCGTGTTCTAGATCTGGCTAGCAAGGGCGTTGCTGACCTTTCTGAATGTCCTACATTCGTCATGGATGAAGCCGACAAATTACTGTCTCCTGAATTCACTCCTGTAATTGAACAGCTATTGTCATTTCACCCTAAAGACCGCCAGGTCATGCTCTTCAGTGCGACTTTTCCATTGATTGTGAAATCGTTCAAGGTACGTTTCATCTAATTCCTTTTCATTACTCCTGGACTAACGTCCTTGTTAGGACAAACACATGCGCAACCCTTACGAGATCAACCTTATGGATGAACTCACCCTCAGAGGAATCACTCAATACTATGCTTTTGTGGAAGAAAAGCAAAAGGTCCATTGCCTTAACACTCTTTTTTCCAAACTTCAAATCAATCAATCAATCATCTTCTGCAATTCAACAAATCGCGTTGAGCTTCTCGCAAAGAAGATCACAGAATTAGGATATTCCTGCTTTTACTCACATGCGAGAATGCTACAACAACATCGGAATCGAGTCTTCCATGATTTCCGGAACGGCGTATGCCGCAATCTTGTTTGCTCCGATTTGCTAACTCGAGGTATTGATATTCAAGCGGTAAACGTCGTGATCAACTTTGACTTTCCCAAGAACGCTGAAACCTACCTCCACCGAATAGGCCGATCTGGTCGTTTTGGTCATCTGGGTCTAGCAATCAATCTCATCAATTGGGATGATCGTTTCAATCTATATAAGATTGAGCAGGAGCTGGGAACCGAAATACAACCTATCCCTCAAAATATCGACAAGAAATTATACGTATATGAATCGCCGGAAACCATTCCACGCCCGATCGCGAATGCATCACAAGCACAGCTCGCAACGAGTGGGAATCAAAACCAGAACTTTGGAGAACGCCGCCACAACAATCACTCTAATGGAGGGCATTATCAATTCGGTCGGGGTCGAGGTTCATATCGTGGAGGACGAGGCCAAGGTCAGCGCCGCAACCTACAAAATGAGATGAACAAATTTGGTACCTCCCAAAATCAACAGCAGAGTAGCAAGAATCAGCCTGCGCAGGTGTCGCCAAATTAACATCGGTTTGGTAAGAACTTCATTTTTCATTTTTTCCCCTCTACTTTTTGTCTTGATTGTTACTATGAATGCTCTCAATATTGAACGACCTTGGCCATGTTACCTGACAAACCGCAATCAAAGTCTTTACTTTTTCTCCTCATTTTCAATGCAAACTTGACGTGGTGTGTTATGACTTCCCTTGTTTGTTTTCGACAATGGTGATATGATAACGGTGACCGCATCTGTATCATATTTTTCTGTTATCCTTCTGTTTCAGTCCCCTTAAGGTCTATTTTACCCTCTCCACCACCCTCAGCTCGTTCGTCGTCGACTTTCTCCCCCCCCCCCTTCAATAGTGAAAAAGGTGGTTGGGTTTATGTACATATTGATGTTGCATTCTATGGATTTTGAGCACAAACGGCGTTTACTGGTTGTCACCCAGCAATTTGTCATGTTTCGGCGTTGGTGGATGGCTTTCGGATAACTCATCGCGCCATACCTCAACTCATTGACTGGGCTATATTCCCTACTTTTCTGCTTCGCCTTTCCAGTTTTCTCTATCCTTTTGTCGGCACTTATCATGCAGCTTTGGATGATCTAAACTCTTGTCTGGTGTCATAGGCCGGCGCAGTGTATTGGGGCAGTCCACATCGGTGTTTGGGTTCTTTTTTCCGCTCTCTTTGTCTCTCGAGCTGCTACACGGCCATTGAGTGTTCTGAGTTTATTCGGCGTTGTGGATATGAAGCCTTTCTTTTTCTTGTTTGTCAACACATTGAGAGATTGGCTTTCCTTGCAGATGGTGTTCAAACCCGCTCCATGGTTCATACCCCTTTTCATCCTGACAAAGATAGTGCATTCTGCTATTCGTCAGATTTGGACAGTCTCAAGTTGGTGCAGTTCCATTCTATGACCATGTCCAAGAGACAATATCCGGATCAGTGTGACGGAGAATGAGATGATCACAATAACAGATTCCGAAAATGTTGGGAGAAGAGAAACCAGGAGACCCGGGAGGGGGGAATCTACGACAGCTTTCAATGAAATGAAGGACTAAAAGAAAGAAAGCAAAAAAGAAAACGAAAGAAAAAAAGAAAAAAACTTGAAAACCACTGAAGCCAACAAAGAGGAGGGTTACTGTCAAATGTTTGTTTTGCGCCTGTAGCCAACGGTCGAGCTCATTCAGGTAGCATCTACAAAATGACAATTTGCCCTCCGAGATGTAGAAGCTTCGAAATTCCACACATAATGTAGTAGTAATACTAGTACTTACAAGTAGACCCTTGATGCAAACCCAAGTTTGCTATGGTCTGATATTGCGTGGTCTGTCCTCCCCGGCGCCCGTACTATTGTGTTTGTTACATGGTCACAAACCACTTTGCCCAAGTTGATTTACATCCATTGTTCCAGTGGTGGTCAAGCTCTTTTCCCTAAAGAGAAGAGGGGGTAAAAAAGCGAAATGAGTACTACGGAAAAGGACCACAACCAAAAGGTGCATTGTCCTTCGCAGTCTATAGTCCCTAATACTAATGCGCCTACCCAGCCCAGCAGTTTGCGGTCTATCATTGCGGGCTCGACTGCAGGTGCCATTGAAATCGGTAATGCTCGCCCATATCAAGGCATATATACTCCTATATCCAGGACTTTTGCTAACTATACTAGCAATCACTTACCCAGCTGAATGTAAGGTTCATGCCCTTGGCTACTCCTAAGTCAGTTTACTCAACGTGTCCAGTTGCCAAAACCCGGTCGCAACTCAATCGCAAACTACCGGATGGGGAAAAGCTGCCATGGCCCCCGTTTGGAAAGCAGTGGTACGCCGGCTGCACGACTCTGATTATAGGAAATTCGCTCAAGGCAGGCATTCGTGAGTTCCACCCCGGGTGCCCGAGCGTTTGGTGTGCTTACATTAGGATTCGTTTCCAGGGTTCGTGGCTTTTGACAGATTCAAGTCACTTCTTCAGGATGAGAATGGCAAGATCTCGGGTCCAAGAACGGTAATTGCCGGCTTTGGAGCTGGCTTCACTGAATCTCTATTAGCAGTGACACCATTCGAGAGTATTAAAACGCAATTGTCCGTTGCCTTAAAGCCCTCCCTTGCTACGTGCCCTTGACTACTTCATGCAACGATGCATGGTGAAGCTGATGTTTAAAACACCCGTAGGATTGACGATCGCAAATCCGCAAACCCTCGTATGCGGGGATTCTTGCATGGCAGTAAACTGATATTCCAGGAGCGAGGTATTCGAGGTTTTTTCCAGGGTTTTGTTCCTACAACTGCAAGGCAAGCCGCCAACTCCGCGACCAGATTCTCGAGTTATACTATGTTAAAGCAACTAGCTGAAAGCTATGTCGCACCTGGAGAGAAGCTGGGAACTGCAAGCACCTTCGCCATCGGCGGTATGGCAGGCTTCATAACAGTGTGAGTTAATATACACTTGAACAGTTGCTACTTCTGCTCCACGGGTATGAGAAACAATGACAACTAATACACCATTCTGCACAGATATGTCACACAGCCTCTTGATACTGTGAAAACCAGGTTTGCTAATGGCCACATTGTATGTAATTTGCTTTTTTCGGGACTAATTCGACAGCAGAATGCAATCACTAGAAGCTTCTAAGCACTATAAGAATAGCTTTGTCTGTGCAGCAAGGATATTCAAAGATGAGGGGTTATTTACATTCTGGTCCGGCGCTGTTCCGCGACTTGCCAGATTGATCTTGAGTGGAGGCATAGTGTTCACAATGTTTGTTTACACTAAGTTCAACCATCGTATATAGGCTTGAGAACTAACTGCTTTCATAATAACAGGTACGAGAAGACGATGGACGCCCTCGATTCTCTAGACCCAAAGAGACAATATATCTGATGCTGAGGAAGCAATGAACGCATGGCACCAATTGGTCTCTTGAACGCTACATCGCAGCATCACAGTTACTATGCATTTATTGTATCTTAATACATAGCACTGACACAGAAGCACCGCATTTTCTATATCTACAGCACTCGATTAAAGAATAGTACTAGTATATAGAACAAAATCCAGCGCCTTGTTAACACCTTGACTCGTTTTTAGTGGCGTGAGGCTTCCTTGTCTTTTGCTAGCTCGTCAGCAACCAGGGCTGCGACTTCTTGGTCAACTAGCCAGGATCGTACACTCTCCATGACAGTTTCGAGGCCTTCACCACCATCCAAAACATTATTCAAATTATGTATGGTGATGCCACTCCGATGGTCTGTGCAACGACTCTGGCCATAATTGTACGTGCGAATTTTGTCCCCGCGGCCCATACGAGCAACACCGCCCAACACCCCTCTTCTGAGTTCAACGAGTTCCTGTTCACGAGCTTCTTGCCTCGCCTCAGCTAATCTAGCGCGTAAGATCTGCCAGGCTTTTTTGCGATTTGCGTGTTGAGATCGAGAATCCTGCATGGAGACAACGATACCTGTGGGCATGTGAGTTAGGCGAATAGCTGACTCTGTCTTGTTCACGTGCTGCCCCCCTGCACCACCAGCCCGCATCTTCTCGCTACGAACCTCCTGGGGATCAACGTAGTAGTCACTACTTGGGTCATCAAAGTTGAGCGCGTTATCCATGCCACCTCCTGTCTCTGGGAAGCTAGGAAGAACCATCACGCTCACAGCACTGGTGTGCGTACGTCCCTTAGTCTCTGTTGCTGGAACTCTCTGCACACGGTGTACCCCTGACTCGGTTCTGAGCATCTCATAAGCCCCATCCGCCCCAACTTCCATTACTGCTTCACTTAGCCGATCCTCCGCCGGGCCATCTCCCACTTCGAGCTTGATAACATTGGACTGAATACCACGACGAGAGCAAAATGCAGTGTACATCCTCAGGAGCTCAAAGGCGAACAGTCCCGCTTCATCTCCACCTGCGCCAGGCCGTATCTCAAGAAGGCAAGGAAGCGCTGCGAAAGGGTGACGGGGTACAAGGGTCTGTTTCAAGTTTTCCGATATAGTTGGCAAAGCAGCCTTGACGGTTTCCAAGTCTTCAATGGCCAGAGATTTGAGCTCAAGGTCAGTGTCCGGGTCATCAAGCAGGGCATTGAGTTCTGATATAGACTAGGAGAGGTATCAAATCCGCTCTATTAGCAAGTTATCCATTGAAAGTGAAAAAGTTAAGTGCGGACATACTTCATTGGTCCTGTCCCATTCTTCTAAGACATTTGCAATCGGTGCTAGCTCGCCGACCCGCTTTGCTATGTTTTTGTCAAAAGAATCCGCTAAATGAGCAGAGAGTTTAGAATGCTCTGCTGCCAAAGAGCGAGCGCGAGAGAGCAGCAACGAAGAAAGGTCAGGGCCTAACTCACTTGTCAGTCATGTAGTAACCCCACAGAATATTAAACATGCATTGAGAGATACTAAACACTGTCTCTCAACTACCCATACTTGTATTCAGTCCCCGCCATTGCAGAGTCGACCACGGCCTTTTTATAGCACCTCTAGTCCCAAACCGCGTCAGGCATCGAGAGCATATCCAAGAGACATTAAGCATGCTTTGTTCTCAAAATAGGAGAATACGTGAGTCTCACAAATAGTCCATGAGCTTCACATAAGCACAATTGTTCAATGGGCGTGCGCATGCAGTATCTACTAGTACTACTAGTTACGCTCCCTTTCAAACCAGACACCAAGTCACGTGATTTAAACACATACATACGTGAAAGCTGGGTAGATTATTAGTCATCAGAAGGGTAATAACGTAACCGGTAAACGAGCTCGTTTACCGGTTACGTTAAGCCAAATTGTCCTACATAGCCTAGTTAGTGAATACATACTGAGACCCACTGCAAAGTCTAGAATAGCCACCTTCAAGAACTTATTTCACCTTTGTTTCATTACAATACCCAGCATTTCACAATTGTAATTTACCATATGTAATTGAGTTGTAAAGGCCAGACTGGAGTCTTGGCATACATTTCTCCTTTAGTTGCTGTGATCAACCTCATCGCCAAAGACCTGATCATGGAAACACGCCTTCTGCCTTTTCAAAGGGCATTCATTTTGCTCTTGCAATCGCAGTAATTGGATTTCTTCTACCGTTGTGTTTCAATAACCGCACATCTTCAGATAACTGACCAGGCTCGTGAGATAAACCGACCCGTCCGAACCAGATTGCCTTTGCGTTGGTGTAAGTATGATCCTCTTTTCCTTGGAGACTCTTACGATCTTTCTGGCCATTTCATCAACCAGTTATGGTCTTCAACCTTCACACATTCCTTCAGACACCCCTCTGTCGTCGCTGATTGCATCAGCGAAAACACATCTCGCTGGTGGATCGCCCCGCGATGCATTACTTTATTTCGACGCGGCTGTGTCGAGGGATCCTACGAATTACATCACTATCTTCCAGCGGGGTGCGGCTTATTTGTCACTGGGTAAAGGTTCTCAGGCATTAGATGATTTCGACCGAGTTCTGCGGTTAAAACCAGATTTTGAGAGTGCTCTCCTTCAACGAGCTCGCCTTCGAGCTAACACTGCTGACTGGGAAGGCGCGTTGAAGGATCTGGAAACGGCCGGCAAGAAGTCATCCTTGGAATACAATGAGCTTCAAGAGGCACGTAATGCTGCAGCTCTTGCACAAAATTCCGAGCAACATGGCGCCTGGGAGGCCTGCGTAAATCAAGCGAATGTGGCTGTTCTTAAGGCGAGCGCCTCCCTAAGTCTACGACAAACTCGCGCGCACTGCCGCTTCGAGAAAGGTGATGTAGAAGAAGGAATAAGTGACCTTGCCCATGTCCTACACATCTCCCCAAGTCTGGTGGACCCACACTTACAAATGTCCTACATGCTGTTCTATTCTCTGGGAGATCAAGAACGTGGCATTTCACAAATTCGGAGGTGTCTCCATTTCGACCCCGATTCAAAACCGTGCAACGGCCTTTATCGGAAAGAGAAGAAACTCCTCAAACAGCTGCGCAAATTACAAGATTCAATGTCTTCTCGGAAATTTAGCAATGCCATCAACTTGCTTGTAGGTGCAGGCGATGAAAGCGGACTTCTTGACGATGTGAAAGGCGACGTGAGGGAGGCTAAGGAAGCAGGCCATATCCACCCCGCAGCCCCCAACAATCTCTATGGTTTGCTGGTGGAGCGCACCTGCGAAGCTTACCGCGAGGTTTGTGCCCTTAGGAAGGCGTCCAGTTGACTTGGTTCCAATGGGCTAACGCATTGGTTACTCAGGCGCATATGCCCAGGAGAGCTTCTCCGTACTGCTCTGAAACCCTTGACGTCAATCCTTATTCTCTGCCGGCACTGCTCTTTCAGAGTCAAGCGGCTCTTGATGAAGAGCGTTTTGATGACGCTATAAACACGCTGAATACAGCCAAAGAGCATCACCCCGGATCCAGAGACGTCCAATCACTTTTACAGAAGGCACATGTCTTATTGAAGCGCTCAAAGCAGAGGGATTATTACAAAGTTCTGGGTGTCAGCCGAGATGCTGATGACCGGACTATCAAAAGAGCCTACCGCCAACTGACTAAACAACATCACCCCGATAAAGCTAAGTCCCAGGGTGTGACGAAAGAGGAAGCTGAGAAGAAGATGGCTGCTATTAATGAAGCCTATGAAATCCTTTCTGACCCCGAACTCAAGGCGCGTTACGACAGTGGTGATGACCCTAATGACCCGGCATCTCATAGGGGCAACCCGTTTCAAGGAAGCCCATTCGGGCCAGGAGGCGGTCAACACTTTTTCTTCCAGCAAGGTGGACCACAGTTTAAGTTCTCGGGTCAAGGATTCAATTTTCCAGGAGGTTTCCCTTTTCGCTGATGTTGACAGCTAGTGTGTATATTCCAGATGAAGATTCTGCATACTTTTATCCCACTAAGCTCAAAACTTCAAAGCAATCAGATCATAACTATTGCTAGAATCTCAGCGAGAATGCCCTGGACTTTTGTGATACCATCCATGTAGACTCGAATGCCGGCAGTCTTCCACATATTTAACTCAAAGGTCACTTTCATTGCTTATGTAACATGTGAAAAGGGCATTATATTCAACCGTTTGTTTACTTCTTTGGCGGGTCGGTCAGCGGAACATAGCTAACCTGGAACACTTTTTCCTTGTGGACTGACCCGTCCACCCTCTTGTCCACTACCCAAATATATTGGCCGCCGCCAAATCCACGAGCACTCCCATCACACACTGTGTCAACGGGGATAAACATTCGGCCTGGGGCATGCAGTTGCGCGATTAGTGCCGGGTGGAGCTTTTCCGCCGCTGCACCAACGTGGATAGCATCATACGGTGCTCCCTCTTGCCATCCCAACCGGCCGTCAGCGGTAATAAACTTCACCTTTCCTGTATCTAGCAATTTGCGTCCTTGGTCCGACTTGTGCATATTCTTATCGGCCAAGTCAACAAGTTCTGGTATATGGTCAACTCCAATAACGTGGCCATTTAAGTCATCAGGTATGGAGGGATCTGTAACAAGGTTTGCGAGGACATGGGTCAGATATCCAGAACCCGAGCCAATATCGAGTACTCGCGAACCCGGCCTGAGGAAATCGATGAGGTACTCGCATGCATGACCGTGCATGTGTGGAGCGGAGATTGTCGCACCATGCCCAATAGGTTGCGGGGAGTCCGAGTAAGGCCTTGAAGGTGCATAATGGGCTCGATCAACCTTGCACCTTGATGTCAGAGACACGTCTTGGGTAGGGAAGTACACGTGCAGCCAATGCTCTCTCGCCCACATCTCTTTCTTTACCTTGCTGTTACATTCCCGATCCTACTGTAAGATCCATAGCCCCGCAATGTTGCGCGGGGTCAGAGTAAGGAGATGGCACGGCACATGAGAAGTTAAGAAACGGAAAGAACCACTCACCCCCAACATAGCCTTTTTTACTCTTTCGTTCTTCACCAATCCCGCCTTGAAGAGATTATCAACCAGTTCCGCATTGGTTGAGCCAGAGCAATACCACGCCATTGAGATACACTTTGTGGTGGCCTTCCGCAGCACTAGATTTGCATTTAGATAGCTTTGGATCATGTGAGGGAGCTATGCTCTACCTAGCGTAAGAGTAAGACGGTCCGGGGAAACTTGGTATTTAGAAAGCGACGCTGATTGCAAGAAGACCCTGGGGCTTGCAAGTAGGCTATACCATCGTCCTACCCTGCTTAGCACTTAGGATATTCTTCAATATTTGTACAGGGCTCGTCAGAATATCAAGAGGATGAGGTTTGGAATTATTCACTTCGCCCCTTAACGGAGTTGTAGCTACTCCGTCCTACCGTCGTGTATGACGCCACTCTAACATCGAAGGTCACGAGTACTTAACGTAGCCGGTAAGCAATCCGGTAATGTAGGCAACCCGGTAGACTGTATTCTATATAAAATGGCATATTTTTAAATATTAATATCTTAATCAATATATATTCTACGTATTTGAGTATCTATACTAATACTATATTAAGTTATTATATAAAAGATATATTTTAAGTCTTAGCTATTTTATGTATATTATTAATTTTATTATTTTTTATAGCTGATACAATGTTGTGTACATACATAGGTTGATGGTTGATGATTAGGCAGAGCGGAAGCTTATGTAATCAGGATGCTTATCAGCCAGAGAGTTCCCGTCAATGACACCACAACTACATACTGACTGCCCAACATATAATTAGTAGAATTCTATTTTTCTACTTGATATATAATTTTGATAATTTCATTATTTTTAATAGAATATTTGATATTTGAATTATCTAAGAAATTAAGATATATTAAAAATATATATAAGATACAGATTACTTACAGGTGCGGGTTGCTTACCGGTTATGTTACCAGTCAGACTTAATCAGTAAGATCTCACCGCCTTTAGTACCGCCTTTAGCTCTTGCATTCACAAAGTTGACGTAGATAGGAATGAGATATCTTCGCTATCTCATTAAAAATTAAGATACTGCATAACAATAATGCACAATGGAACCAGAATCCGATGCTAGGTCTGATGTAGACCTGTTAATATTGGACTACCTACTTTGCACCTCTATATACAGATTGGTATACACCAGCGGAGTGGGAGCTCGGGAGCAGGCAAACGAATGCGACCTTAATTGCCATATTGATATAGTACACGGTATGTGCTTAACATGTCATTTCAAAAGACACGCTGACTTGCTTTTCTTTTAATTTCTAGCCATTAAATCAGTTCTCCCAAACTCTGGATTACTTCCAGATGACATTCAAGTTAAGGTCCGACTATTTGAATTTGCCAATACCTTCAGGTGTTATCTAGATGGATGTATTACTTCTCAAGCTCTTGAATCCCGATTAAGTTTTTGTAGATATTGGTCAGAAGAAACCCCAAATTCACTTTCTGAGTTGGCGGGGACCTTCATAACTCTCTGCTACGCTGTTGGTGCCAAGTTATCAGAAGCGACGTGGGCTGATACTGCCGCACAATTCGTCATGCAGGCTGCAGTCGAAGGATACCGAAAGTCCCAGTCCTCAGATTCTCTCAGCAAGCATATCACCTGGGCCGAGAGTCAGATGGCAAACATGAAACAAGCGTTTACAGAATACATGAGCTATCTCCAGCCACCGGATGGAACCTCTCTCAATGTTCACATGCGTACGGTTTCCACGAAGTTCCCCATTGATAAGTTCAAATGTGCGGTTTTCGACACGTTGGTTAAGGTCATGAGGGTTCTTGAACCGCCTATATTGATCCAGCTCGAACGCGGACAGCTCTGGGGGCTGAGCCGCGCAGACACGAAACAATTGAAGGATAGGGTAGGGCTCAAATAACAACACGCCCCCACCAAGCTATGCACAGTAGTGAAAGTGGTTTCTTGGTTTGAAAAGGTACGGTGCAAACAGCGGGGCAAAAAGTTCCACGACCTAAGAGCTATGATGCTTAAAGTTACTTGATTAACATGCAATTGATAATATATATCTTGGACACAAAATGGTTAATCTACAAAATGAAACATCTAAGCCATGGGGCAGGTGCTGTGAGTAGAAAGAAGCACACTTAGCAAAGCTATTAGGCGAATGAGCAGAGCACAGACGCTTAGCCAAGAAGCATGCGGCGAGGATCCTCAATGTATTCCTTAACCTGCATTGAATTGCGCTTAGTGATAGATTCAAAAGGCTCAGTTTGAGGGGTGGGGAACAAACCTTGACAAGGAAAGTAACAGCCTCCCGGCCATCCAAAAGGCGATGATCATAGGTCAGAGCAAGATACATCATCTATTAGAGCATCAGCAACAAGTCTACCGGCAGAGGCAAAGGGGGTGGCAAAGGCGACATACAGGGCGAATCTCGATTTTGCCATTTACAGCAACTGGTTTTTCTTTGATGGCGTGGAGTCCAAGAACAGCTTTCGATGGTTAGATGAGTTCTTCAAACAAAGTGTGGTGTTAAACATACCTGTCTGTGGTAGGTTGATGATCGGCGTACCCATGAGGGATCCAAAGACGCCACCCTGTATCAATGTTAACACAGATACACAATGCCAGGCACGTACATGTATGTTTACTCACGTTACTGATGGTGAAAGAGCCACCCGCCATGTCCTCAATGGTCAGCTTATTGTCGCGAGCCTGACGAATTTTATGATCAGCAAGCCACACAACAAAATGAATGTCTACTGCAGCTTACCTTCTTTCCGAGATCCGCAATAGCCTTTTCAATTCCAACAAGATCCATGGTTTCAGCGTTGCGCACCACTGGTGTTACAAGGCCCTTCTCAGTGGCGACAGCGACACTTATATCGACATAATCACGGTAGACAATGGTATCGCCACCATTGGGCCCCTCGATCGATGCGTTAACAGCCGGGATGTCTTTCATAGCCAGTACACAAGCACGAGAAAACGCGCTCATGAAGCCGAGCTTAACACCGGTCTTTTTAAGCACATCGTCCTTGTATAACTTCCGAAAGTCCATGAGAGAAGACATATCTACCTCATTGAACGTAGTCAGGGAAGCGGCCGTGTTCTGAGATTGCTTCAAACGCTCAGCTATCCTCAGTCTCATTCTATTCATTTTCACCTAAGAGTTAATCAGCATAAGACCAGAAGAAAGACAAGACTAACAGTAGTAGGCATGGTAAGAAAAGAGAACATACCCTTCGCTCTTCGCGACTTCCGGGGCTGGGCTTAGCATCATCGCGAGCTTCTGGCTTAGAGACAGCGGGTTGTGGCTGCTTAGAGGGTCCAGACTCAGATACGGCAGGCTTCTCAGAGGCTGAAGAAGCCTTTGCGGTCTTGGGCTGGTCTGGCTCGGGGGCTTTGGGTTTTTCTGTAGGTGCGGGCTCCTTCGGCTTTTCGGTTGCCTCCTCCGTTTTGGTCTCAGGCGCACCTCCCAGCTCCAACTTCGCCAGTTCCTGTCCAACAGTAACGGTGTCTTCCTCGCTTACGAGAAGCTCTTTGATGGTTCCCGCTTCAGGAGCATTGACCGACACATCAATCTAGAACGGCCAGGTATCAGCAGAAAAATCTCTTTTGGCGCATGAAGATGTAAGTCTCGTTCACCTTATCGGTCTCGATTGTTGCTATTTCTTCGTCTCTCTCAACATAATCCCCGACCTCTTTTGCAGGAGTGAGCGCAAGCTAGTAAAGAAGTATTGGCGAACATACGTTTGGAGAACTGTTTCAAAGTACCCTCGGTGATAGATTCTGCCATCTGAGGAACTTTAACTATGGTGTCCGCTGAAAAAGGTTGTTAGTGCGATATTCCAAAAGAAAGAGAGGCTGCATTACCGTAGGTGCGAATCTGATAGCCCCCAAGGGGAGCGAAACTAGACCGAGAAACATTGGCCCTACAGTAGTGTAAGCTAGTTTGTAAAGAGGGCACTTCATAGCAATGAGTAGGCGGCTTTACCCCAGAACCCGCGGTACACCAGAAGCAGGCCTGTTAGTATTCCTGACACAGTTGCGGAGTGCAGCCGATGTAAGATTCCTGCGGGTGGCCAGGCTGATGTTACGAGAGCTTTGGGCAAATCTAGGCATGGCCCGCAGATTTTGTTCGGGGAGACGGTGAAGAGGTAAGCGAAAAGCCATGATGACCTAGGTTCGGAGGTTGGACAAAAAGAAAACAATATATTTCGCAGATTGTAGAGAATTAATGTAGTGAGTCAAATCGTGAATGTAAGTGATGTACAAGAGAAAATAGGAGGAGCACGGCCTTCTTTTCCCTTCCTTTTTCTCCCCCAGAACTGACTAGAGCTAAGGGTTCATCTACCTGTAAGTAGGGATAAAGTGAGTGACGAAACTTAAGCGGCCAAACGGTGCAAGGCCGGGCCGAGACAACCGGAATTTCCCTCAAAGCGGTCCTGCAATCCCTTTGGCCGGCAAATGAACGGAGTATTATTATTACGCTTCTTCGGCAATCCATAAGAACCATTTAGGAAGTTTCCGCACTCAGGACTTCACCGGGAGAAAGGCGAAGCTAAACTTATGTAGCAAACCGGGTGAGCATCGAAACACACTGCATCAATATTCCGCAGAGAGGCTCATTCCAGCTCAGACAGACTCTTTCCGCTATACAGACAAGCTTCAAGTCTTTCAATTCCCATTACGTGACACGCCATGGCCCTTCACCCTGTTGCGTAAGTCGGTCGTGGTTGGAGCAATGATCATGAGGGAGCCATATTAAAACTACCTCGCAGGTCGCTTTATCGACGCTCCCTAAAGCTTGCTCTTGACTGGGCTGTGCACAGGCAGATTTGGCGCGGGCAAGCAGTGTATATACGATCCCTTTTCGATGCGAATAAGAATGTCCGCGATCCGCGTCAACAGAAGGTATATGCGGCTCGGTTTTCTCAGCTACATGGTTTATGCATACAGTATCTCACAAACTAGCAGGTACTGCTGCGGGAGACAGAAGATCTATTAGAAACTTGGAAGCATCCAGACCCGTACCGAGCACCCACTGCTCCGGGTGGTATGTATTATCAAAGACACGGGGCTTGCTCCTGCTAAATGAATAGAACGACTGACTCTTCTAAAGGTAACAAATATGAAAGGAATCTGCCTGCTCGCCAATTGCCGTGTACGTCAACCAGGGTAATGCCCACCAAATACTTTAGCCACTAATGTTTGATCAGATGCTTCGGGCAGCCACTAAAGAGAGAATTAAAGAAGGTTGTGTTTAAGTTAATTTGGGTTTCGGGAAATGGAGATTGTATAACCAGTGCTACCCATAGAGCCACACATACTCGAATTTGAGAACAGTACTCGCTGTACAGGTTGGCGAAATTCTACGTTGGAAACTAACATAATTGTTGGATAGATAACTGCCGGATCAAAATGCGTAACTTATCATTGGGGACATACACATCCCTCGAAGCTAATGTGCCGAAAGCTCATATCCTTTGAAAGCTGCCGGTATCATTCCATGTCCGTAGACATAATGTACAACCATAAAATTAAAACAGAAAAGAAAAAACGCAGAGCCATAAACGTGCCCAGTCCAGAACCCCGTTATCACATCAATAAGAGAACCAAACCACGCCGAATGAGAAAACCCAAATAAAAACAAACAATTCACAGCTCCTGGCTAGGGCCCTTTCCACTCTTTGGGGTCTTCTTGGGAAGAAGGTCTAGTTCCATGTTAGCGTCAATTCAATAGCCGAGTGTCCGACACGCTTACTTTGGTGAATGTTAGGCAGAACACCACCCTGGGCGATGGTGACGTGACCCAACAGTTTGTTCAACTCCTCATCATTACGAATGGCGAGCTGGAGGTGACGCGGGATGATACGGGTCTTCTTGTTATCACGGGCAGCGTTGCCGGCCAACTCAAGAATTTCAGCTGCGAGATACTCCAGGACAGCTGCGAGGTAGACGGGTGCGCCTAGTACGTGTAAGTGCATATACTATATAAGGGGTGTGATATGTGGAGACGCACCAGCACCAACACGCTGGGCATAGTTGCCCTTGCGGAGCAAACGGTGGACACGTCCGACGGGGAACGCGAGACCGGCCTTAGAAGAACGGCTGAAGATAGATTAGTTTAAATAGCAGGCGTAGATAGAGGGCAAGATTCATTCATACGATTGCGCGTTCTTGCTGCCACTGGCTTTGCCTCCAGACTTGCCTCCAGTCATTTTTGCGATTGGAAATGGTTTGAAATTCGAAGATACGAAGAGAAGGGTTTATAAAGGTCGTCGATGAAGCACGATAGCAATGATTTGGGTAAGGTGTCAAAAGTAACTGGCCAGCGCGAGGAAGCGGCGGACATTTATAACGACGCGGTGAGGGTGACGTTGGGCCGCCTAGACGCCCTTCAGATCACCCTCTCGCTTAGCGGGGTTGGCCAATCACGGTGGAGATCATCGTCCGAGGCACCCATAGCTTGGCCAGATGCGCCTGCCATGACTCCGTGTAAAGTTGTTGTGGCATTGTTCCTAATATGGTTAAGCGTCGTAATATATGAATATATCTTTCAATACTGTCATCTTGGCGTGACCTTAGTCAGTTGTCCACGGCTGGAGACGCGTTTTCCCTCACCTAATCATACAGATCATACACAACTGTGACGGTATTGAAATTCTGCTTCCTTTGCGCACCCAGGATCAACTGCACTTTCGCAGGCTAGTATAAGTAGCGCGCCTCCCTCGTCACCGCGTCTCCATCATTCTGTTCTCCTCCTCATTCCACGTCTACCTTTATCAACGACTTCAACGCCTCGACTTTCGCCATCCTTCGATATTATCAACTTGAGTTTGTCAAATTTCATTTCCTGCTTCACTTGAACAAAATGGCACCCAAGGCAGCTGAGAAGAAGCCCAGCACTGGTGGCAAGGCCCCAGCTGGCGGCAAGGCCCCTGCTGAGAAGAAGGAGGCTGGCAAGAAGACTGCGGCTGCTGCCTCGGGTGACAAGAAGAAGCGCGGAAAGACCAGGAAGGAGACCTACTCTTCCTACATCTACAAGGGTATGTTGCAATGTTATCCTGGTTCAGAGTTCACAAAAACTAATGTCAAGTGTAGTTCTGAAACAGGTTCATCCCGATACCGGAATTTCCACTCGTGCCATGTCTATCCTGAACTCCTTTGTCAATGGTATTTCATCTTCCTTTCTTAATGTGGAAGTCATTTACTAATCTACTTGCAGACATCTTTGAGCGTGTCGCAACCGAGGCCTCCAAATTAGCCGCTTATAACAAGAAGTCCACTATCTCATCAAGGGAAATCCAGACCTCGTACGTCATTATCAATTTCGATCTCAAGCTAGTTTGCTAATTTTTTATTTCAGTGTCAGACTTATCCTGCCTGGTGAACTGGCGAAGCACGCTGTGTCGGAAGGCACCAAGGCTGTGACGAAGTACTCCTCTTCTGCCAAATAAATTGTTCTTTCTTTTGTTATTTGTTTCTTTTATGCAGGATTGTCTTTTGCTACCTCGTTATCTGTTATGGTTTGAGGTGGTGGGTACAGGGTGTTCGTGGGATTTTTAATGCGTCACGGGATGGCTTTGTTTTTCCCCATTGGGCCAAATGTTTTTCATGGTTTTATTCGAGACGTGAATGCGTTGTAACATAACTCGGTGCTCCTGGGTATGGTTGCGCAGTAGCAACTTTCAGACTAGGGTTCGAAATTTGAATTACTCTGACACATTCTGCTCTTCAATGCTTCGGCGCTAACTGGGTAGCGCCTTTCACTAGCATGCGCATAGGTTCTATTCGGCGTCATCCAACGCCTCAACTTCATCGAGTGCCTCCCTTCTGCCTTGGTTGTAAGTAGTTTCCGCTCCTTCGAACACATGTATGATTGGCTTCCCCATTATTGAGCCTATGCGGCCTTTCAAATCTTCCCAATCATCTTCGTTTCTCACAAGGAAGCCTATTAGCATACTTGGATCCATGTCTTGTATATGAATGCGTCTGAGTCTGCGAGAGTGATAAGTGCTGATTTCCTCCTTGGAGGGAAGTCTACCACCGATGCTGTATGCGAGTGCGGGGCGCGTGGTATGGGGATCAAGATAGAAGAGATGCGAGCCTTGCGTGCCGATGAAGTAGTGAGACGCGGAAGGACGGCCCCTATTGCGCGTCAGGGGTATCAGCATTCTTTTGTTACCAGCTGTGGCCAGGCGCTGGGAATGTAGACATACCCTGCGATGCCCACCGACTGTGGCAATTGTAGAACAGCTTTGAGTCCCTCCCAGTACACTGGCGTGACGTTGTCAATTCCAAGTCGAGTCCCTAGAAGTATCAGTGTGGGTTGTATACTGCCCGAACCACTGCGAGCCACTCGCAAGAAGCTATCTTCGTAAACGTCCGAGGTACCGTTTGTGACATATACTCTGGGCGCTATATTTCCACATTGTGCTGAGAGAGCCCTATTTACTAGTAAGTCTCTTGCTCAGGGGCCTGAGTTATTAGGCGCATACTCTATACATCTAGCGGTTGCTGACGGTCCAAACCACTCCCCAGGATGTTTACCGCATGACTCGGCGCCATGTCTGACAAATCGATGTATCGAGAGGGGCGCGTCTGGATGATCAGCAAAAAGCGACAGTAGATGAGCCTCTTCTTCCGCTTTATCCCCACGGCGCCAGGCTAGGATATGTTAGCATGAGGACTATATTGAAGAAAGGATTGTGTGGGAGTTATATGTATGTGTAGGGTTAAGAGGCGGGGGGTCATACCACGACCTAGACACAATATAAGCATTGCATTTGCTAGCAAGCTCTGCCCAGATCTGATCATGCAACCCCACCCTGTGTCTGAAGTGAAGCCTTGAGGGTCCATTAGCTGGGTTCTCAGGCGTACGGTTAGCGTCATCGGATGATTCGCTTCATCGTTGTCCGGCCTTGGTATTGGGGGGAAATTAGATCGATATGTCATCCAGATCTTCGACTCAAAGTCCGAGATGAATGCTTCTGGCCATCCATGTGCTGTTACATCGTCTATGGTGTTTGTTCCAACGTCAAGTTCATCCCGATCTATTCACCCACGCATATCAGTGATCTTCCGCCCTTCTGAATGCTTATGGTAGAACGATTTCCTGGCTTACCAGATGCTGTGTTTGCTGTATGTTTCTGAAGCCGTGGGGCATACTCTACTCCCAAGCACCAGATAGAGGCATCTGGCTCTTGATCATTCCTGGGCTCGGGATCCCATAGGTATTGTACAATGCGTTTGCTGCACCGCCCTATGTCTACACTGTTCATTTTTTTGGGTGTGATCAGTGTGTTTGGGGTGGCTGTACTGCTGGTATTTGTTTTTGGGTATTGTGGATGTTGCGATGGTGTTCACTAGCAGGTTATGGTTGGCTGGGTGGTGAAGTTTGGTTGGTTAAATACGTACATACACATATGTGTATATATTATATACACATGCACCTGGATGTATATATAGCTAGCCTTTTTAGTGGAAGCACCATAAAATAAACTGAAAGCAAGCACAACAGGAGACACTAGGCAAAAACAGTATCGCATATAAGTGATAATCAACAGTGATAGTTACCCAAAGAAACTCCTACCCCATGATGGGCTGAGGAGGGGCCATAACTACACCAGTCACGAGTTACCTACACAAACAACCTATCCTAAACCATGTAAACGTCATCGCTAGACCATGATCAAAACGTGTACAAACAGACCTGACATTCTGTGGTCATGTATGGGACATTGAAATGCCACTCATGCCCAGAATATTTATTATTTTAATTACTACACCTATTCCCTTCATTGTTTTCTACTTCTCCAAAACGAGGTGCGTCGGGGTACCCCAGTACTTAGTAAGCTTGAAGTGACTAAACGTAGTCGGGAAGCGGGCCGGTCACGTAGGCCGGCCGGTTACATCTGTATTCTATATGATATAGTATATTTTTAAATATCGATATCTCAGCAAACTATTATTCTATGTATTTATAGTTGTATTTATAGTCTATTATATATACTAATAATATTAAGCTACCAAGCTTACAAATTCTAAAAATTTCTTAGTATCATAGTAAAATAAATTACAGTGTATTTTAAGTATTATTTTATATATGTAAGAGATAGAGCCAGGGCACCCTATTAAATACCACAAGGCCAAAAGGTCATATAATTCAGGATCAACGATCCCGAATGCCCTAGGGGTGTGAGCAGGTAGGTGAGGTCGAACCCTAGTATCGCTCTAGGCTGCCCTCTGGCACCTATTCTAGGGGTTTTGTCTGGCTGTCCCCTACAACCACCTCGCACGGACTGCAGCCAGCCACGTGATCTACCCCGTACCTGGGACCTCTAGGTCCCGCACCATCTACCCATTGATCCCGAATTATTTGACCTTTTGGCCTTGTGGAATAGGGTGCCCTGGCTCTATCTCTTACAATATAACTATAATTTATATTTCTAGAACTTGGTTTCTACTAAGATTCGAGATATATATAATGAATATATAGAATATAAGTTTATTGAGATATCGATATTCAAAAATGTGCTATTTTGTATGGAATACAGACCGGCCTGCCTACATGACCGGCCCGCTTCCCGACTACGTTGAGTTCCGTCGGTACCTTGATCAATACTAGTAGTTAGTTTAGTTAACTAACGGATTCGGTAAGGAAGCGGGTTATACAACTTGGCGGATCAGCTTGGTATTGCATACAAAATGGCCTTTTTAAAAAGCTCAATATCTTAACTATTACTATATATATCAATCTATAATATAAGAAATTACCAGTATATATACTACTTCTATATATTTATTAGAAAAAATTAGGTTAAAAGGTAAATTCTATAGATTATAACTGTGTACTATTAAAATCGATATAATATATATTATCTAGATAATTAAAGATTTCTACCCTCTCTAAACTTATCGGCTTACTATTTTAATATATAGTAGACTTTATATAATTTTAGATAGATAGAACTTAAATAGACTAAAATATTGAGCTTTTAAAAAAGGCCATTTTGTATGTAATACCAAGTATAAAGGTTGGCTTGTTGAAATAGTGTGATATTAAAGGTATGGCTTGATCTCGCGGTCGGCCCAGCTATCTCTGTATTGGCTTATGGTATTGTCGCTGGAGTCCTGTGACCTCCGCGGGTACGCGAGGGTTAAGGAGGTCCCTTCGCGATGTGCTTACTTAGCACCCGCGAAACCAAGCCTCTCTTACACCAAGCTGACCCGCCAAGTTGTGTGACCCGCTTCCTTACTGAATACGTTAAAACACACATGCTTATTAAGCGTGCCCAGTGCCCAGGCTTTACAAACCCATGGTGTACCCCATAAATTTAGCCAAGCTCACGGAAGAACATCGACACATCCAGAACCAACCAAATACCAGACATTATTCGAAATGGCTCGTCACAGCAAGGCGAAAGCGCGGATAAAGAGGCAGAAGCCGACGACGAAGTCCAATATAGGTATTGCCACGGGAATGATCAGCATTAGGTCACTCATTAGCTGACTTCTTGAAGACCACCAACTAGGGCACCTGACGATGCAGCAAGAAGCAAGGAACACAGAAGGCCGCAATCTGTGGCGCACCGGCTCCAATCTACGCCACCAAGGAGTCCGTTTTGTGAGCGCAGGCAACACCCAGCGAGATGAAAATAACGAGGGAGAGGCTCGTGAGGGAGACGGCCCTTGGACAGAAGAGAACAATAAGCAACCGCCCACAAGAGGGACTGAATCAAAGGAGGATGCACAGGATTTGAAAAACGAACCAGCAATGCGCAACGCGCCATTCTTTATCGACCTATCAGGCGAAATTGGTGCACACACTGGGCTTGCAGACCCCATTACCGCACTATCATTATCTGAGAGTGACAACTCTAGTGAAGATGAAGTAGTGTTTTATGGGCGACGTAGACTTGAAGAAAGACCTCGTATCATTGTTGAAGACCACGCGGTGAAGGCTGCCAAAACAAGTTACCACTCGTCAAAGGATCTCGAATCGCCACCCGAGGCAAGGCTACCTGCACCGGACTCCAAGGTGTGCCTGGTATCCGATGGCATATCAACATATGAGCTACCGCAGAGAAGCCCACCAACAGCGGAGAATATCGGGCAGACGAAGACTGTTATGCCATACGGGGAGAAAATTGCTCAGGAGACATCGGAAAACGAAAATGACGATATACTAGCTGACTATATAGCAAACATGGCCGAACATTACTACGCAGATCTGCATAACTCACTAGCTGGTGCTATAAAGCATGAGCCCGAGCATGGGATAGAGATGCTACCTCAGAACTTCGCGGCCCATGCGGCCACTAGCGATTCGATTCGTCATTCTGGCAAGGGAAAATATCTGCGTAGGGACATCTTATCGGAACGTAAGCGCAAAATGATCCCGCCGACGGAGTTTATACTGAAATTAGCAGATGGTGAGAGTAATGATCCAATATCATACCCGCTCGACGATGCTGCCTCTGTGAGCAATCAAGACCTACAAAGCTCGCAAGCCAGTGATTCCGACGAAGGAAATATTCTTGATACTGACCTAGACATCGAGGGACTTGAGGCTCAAGGACGCCCCGCCCTCTCCCAACGGAACCACAAAGATTCACAATGTGATATATTCGCCTCGGCCACTGCCTTCGCTGACGCCTTGGAAATTGACCCTTACTACGGCTTGGATATCATGGATTTCGGCAGGCCAAGTCTTCAGAAAAAGAAAAGAGGAAAACATCGCAATCCAGATTTGGTCCTATCAGACAGTGAATTGGAGCTGGAACTGGAGAACGCCTGGCGGAATGACCGAGAGAAGAAGAAGGCCCGAAAGCAGAAAAGAGAGGAACTTCGCTCCCAAGGTCTCCTAGGTCGAGGGGCAAATGACCCAGATCTGAGAAGCAAATATACAAACGGCATGGGTTTTAGTGACTTGAAGATGGAGATACGCATTTTCCTACTGTCGTCAAGAACCAGGTATGTTTGTTGTCTCATGAACTCAGCGATAAGTGCTTATTGATTAACCTGCACGTCTAGTTTGGCTCTTCCGCCTATGGCCAAGTACCGTAGGAAACTGATTCATGACCTAGCAAATGCGCTGTCCTTAAATTCACAGTCACGAGGCAAGGGGTCTTCTAGATTTCCTATCCTGCACAAGAATTCCCGGACTCCGAGGCACACGCAAAAGACTATTTCTTTTATCGACCAATTATTCTCAAAGGGAAGATTTAATCACGCCGCAACCAAATCCTGGGATCAGAAGATTGCAAAGTCTGCTAAGCCTCCTCGTGGTCGTCCTGACAGTTCTGTTTCATACATGGATGGGGATATTGTCGGCGCATCTGCTCCCGAGATTGGAGCAGGAAACAAAGGAAGAGCAATATTGGAAAGAATGGGTTGGAGTATGGGAACAGCTCTTGGTGCTACTAATAATAAGGGTATCCTGCTACCAGTGGCGCATGTTGTGAAAAATTCCAAGGCTGGCCTAGGGTAGGCTTACCTCGTCGAGTAATAAGTATGACTTCACACATCAAAGAATACCCGTGTCGCTTCTTGCAATATATCCTAACTGTACATGTCATGATTTTCAATAAAAAAAAATTAAAACATGCCTGGATTTTGGATGGTATAATGATGCCTCTAGTGTACCTGATCCTGGCAATAGAAGCCGACAACGGCAATGAAACTTTGGCCTGGATAAGGAAAGACAACAAGCAAGCCTCTTTACTCTGCTTATTGCCTCCTTTTTTGGGTATCACTCATAGGTAAAGGAGGTTGAGCGTGATCAGACTCGTGGATATGAATAAACAATTGAGACCTTGAGGGAAAAGTCGCGTAGCAGGTGGCACATTTAATATTCTGGAGCTGGTTCATTGCACGCTGCGCTTTTTTCGCACGTTTTTGTTTAGCCTTTCCCACCTTTGGTGTAACTGTTTGCAAGTCCTCTATTTCAGTTGTTGAGAACTGTTTGGACAGGCTGTCTAGTGATTCCATCTCTTCTATTTGTTGGGATAACGTGGTTCGGGAACCTAATCGCTGTTCAACACACTTCCTAGGTATATAGTCGGCCTCGCTGAGATCTGGCATAGAGTCCCCATGGCAATCTGTGCGCGCCAAGGGACCTTCATCGGGTTTAATTTCAACACTAGTATCAGAGGTATATTTGTCTGTTCCGATACTATTTCTTGTCTCGTTATCGGGTGTTTGTTGGACTGTTGACGCCATGGTGTGCACCAGGTCATCTTGTGCGTTGTTACGGGTAGAATTATCCCACTGGGGCTCTTCGGGGTTAGATAAATTTCCTTTAATGTCCAACTCTTCATTCTGTGCTCTCATCTCCCGGCGTAGCTGTTTCACAGCTTTTATATGCTTCTTGCTGCGTTCGTGGGCGTCGAACTGATTATGACTTTTGAAGGTTTTATGGCACGCAACGCACTCAAAGTATTCAACGTCATCTTCGCTTGTATCGCTAGATTCCTCACCTAAACTCTCTGCCTTCGCCCAATCTTGCATCACATGATCACGCAGTTTCGCATGGTTTGCTGCTCGTGATTTAGCTGCTTGTGCAGCTGCTGATTGACGAAGGAATTCCTGCCGTTGTGATTCATTCTGTGTGTTAGACTTGTACCGGGGATCGCGCTTCTTCACAAAAGCTACAAGCGACCTGACAGCCTCATTGAATTCCCGAATGGCGTCTTCCCTAAGACGCTTGTTTTCCTTCTCCATCAGTCTGCGGACGCGACGATCTGGTGCCTCGGAGTAACGGTGAACATCTTTCCAGGCGAATGACTTTTTCGTAGAAAAACTGCCCCAGACAGCATAGAACGGACGTACGACCTCTTTAGGGTCGGCGTTGCAATTCCCAAATGTAGGGTACTCTATGCACGTGACATTCTCCCAGCGACAGGCCATTGTCTCCTCTCGGGCAAGTCGTGCAAATGTTTCTCGCAAAGCACCGTAAAATCCGGTTGGCGCGTCTGTAAAGTCCATCCAAGGACTGAATTTTGAAAACAATTTCAGGATGTCGTCGGAGGTTGTCATCCGCGTATCGTACGAATAATCGGCCCCTTCTGGCTTGCCATCGTTTCCTAGGAAGACATCGCGGTGCGAGTCATACCACGCACGTTCCTGGGCGTCTGAGAGAACTTCATAGGCAGATTGAATTTCGGCGAACAGCCTGGTAGCAGCCTCCACGTTGCCATAATTTCTATCCGGGTGTAGTTCTAGAGCCCTCCTTCTGTAGGCCTTTTTTATCCTATCGCATTGTATCGATTAAACATCTTCCTAGTAGATACTTTCTGATATACTTAAGACTTACTCGTCGCTAGATGCATTTCGTTCAACCTGCAGCAGCTCGTAATAATCTACCTTCTTCTCCTCTGGTTGGGTTAGGTTCGAGCCTGCTCCCTCGTGGCTGTTCGAGGAGTGCGTCTGTCCCATGGATAATTTACCACAGAAGGATATGGTATTTGATTCGAAGTGAGGGGAATGGAACAGTGGTGGGTTGCGGGAATTGCAGCCTTGTCTAGGTTTACCCGGTGTGGTGTACGGAAAGTGGCGGGGTGGCGGCTATATTTATACAAGGTATACAGAATATATGTGTGCGTGTGTCTCATAAACCATCTCCTATATACTGTGTAGAGTCTGTGGCTATACTTGATACTGAACACTGGACAATCCCTAGACAGGAGAAAATTGCATCCACGTGAGTTTGAACCTAATCAGCAAATTGAATAATGCCGCCTACTATTTCCATGCATACAGTGGGAAGTAATTAGAATTTGGAACACCTAAATAAGGTATAGTATATAAACACAACAACAACCGCCTACCGTTATAGCAGTTTTCTGCAGGTGTTAAATTCTATATATCGCTGATTATTGGCTTGTATTTGGGCGGTGATAATTGTGCACGGGCTACTATTGCAGGTGTTCCAAATTTCAAATACCAGTCACTGTACCTTCTTGTTCAGCCAAGGCCAATGATAACCCTCCCAGCGGAATTTAATCTTAATGCTACACATAACCCACCTTTCCCCACCCCGAGGGGTAAAGCTCACATCGATTCAATCTCTGGTTGAAACATTCTAACGGGATGGTTTTATCTCTCGACAATGTTCCTGAAGAGATACTCCACACTATCCTATGCTACAGCCACCCCTGTTCTGCGGCTGCTTTGCAGCAGACAGCCCATCGATTCGAACGTGCTACCAGCGAGCCTTTGTTGTGGCGATTTTACTGCCAAGTGCATTTCCAGTACTGGGATAGTACACATGATATATTACAAAAATTGTCGGCTCCCATCTGTGCAGTAGACTGGAAGGCCTTATATGTATCTAGACATCTGACCGACTGCACTGCTAGTCTTCTCCTGGACAGTATCCTTGCAGGACAAACGGGGAGAATCGAAAAGTTCCGTGCACTTATCGACCTTGGGTATGATGTTAAAGATACACTTATAAGGAACATTTCATCAGAATTAAAGACAGATGACCACTTAGCAAGAAGGTTTGTCTTAAATACCTGTTTCTCCCTAGGCTTTATTGATCGAACTGTGGTGACGACTAAAAGGTATTATGGCAAGGTGCTCCTGACTTGTTTACACCGGAGTATTGCGTTGCCAGTATGGGCTAGACTAAGGAATGGTGGGAACGTAGCCCTGGAACGAGCACTGGGCGCTTTCGACCTTTTCATACCAGAGAGCGGATATGGAAGCCTTGACGAAGTATGTATGCTTGCTAAAAATGGGTAGTGATTGCTGACCAAGCACTAGATAACTAACAAGCTGGATGAAATCGTTGGACGACTTTCCTCATTATACCCTAGCATAAATATGCTCACAACTCGCGATAAGGCGAGGACTATCGCAGTATATTTGAAGTCAAACAACCTGACTGGTATTCAACCAGATAAGGAGTATCATTGCTTAGAGCACAATTTCCTGGGTGTCGCACTGAATGACCCGAACCATAATTCGCTTCCCCTAGTGTCTGCGGCTATATATTGCTACATTGCGCAGAGACTTGGTCTAAATGCTCGACCTTGTGGGTTCCCTTTCCATGTCCATGTTATTGTCAAACCTCCACCAGGTCTGGATGTAAATGGCAATGTGCTGGGGCCCGGAGTTTGTGGAGATCCTATCTATATGGACCCATTTCGTTCAGATGGCGAGACACCAGTCACCAATCTGCAAAGCCAGCTGAACTATTTGGGGGCATCTACCGTCGAACAGGCGACCTTTCTAGGTGAATCTCGGACCTCGGAGATCGTTTTAAGGTGCAGCAAGAATATATTGAATTCGGTCCAGCGCATGCCTCAGTATCCAGATGTGCATTTGGAACCAGTGGATACTGTTAGTGCGAAGTATGCTGCCCTTTGGTCGACAATACTTCTTTCTGACCCCTCTCGGCCGGCCGAGTTTCGACATCATTTACCTTGGCTAATGGAGTTATTTGCCACGGAGTTTCCATCTGATATATACCTTGTCGAACGGTACGTAGTCCCGATATTTCGTGGGTTGCTCGAATATGAGCATATTCTAGAAAGTCTCCACGTCATGCGGGCCGTGGACGAGATTCCAAAGCAGGTGAAACGGCGTTATTCTGGTCGATGCGACGTGAAGTACCGCATTGGTCAGGTTTTCCGACACCGTCGGTATAACTACATAGCTATCATAACCGGTTGGGACACTGAATGCGATGCAGGCGAGCAGTGGATGAGGAGGATGGGGGTTGATCGTTTGCAGGGAGGAAGGCATCAAAGCTTCTACCACGCTCTGTATGTTCCTATGTGCAACTGGTGATGCACTGCCAGACTGACCCATACTCTAGTGTCGAGGATAGAAGCGTGCGGTATGTGGCGGAAGAGAACATTGAGCTTCTAGTTCCTGGTATCTCTGAGCTCCCTACAAACCTTACTGCAGTCGCAGGGAGGCATTTCAGGCGATGGGACGAAGCGACTCGATCCTTTGTGAGCAACATCAAAGACGAGTATCCTGATGATTGATGGATATTGACAACATGCGGTTGAAGGGCTGTGCTTTTATTCTCTGCTGGCCATTGCAGAACGGTCGTGAATGCCCGTCATCGACGCAGCGTCCTATACAGGCTATTGATACAGATGCTTCGAATTCTTATGTATCGGTAATGGCAGTGAATCTATTAAGTTTAGTTATCTCTTTATAGTATCAAAAATGTGTAGCGCTTATATAAATCGTAGCAAGGGTCCTCTGATATTCGGGTTACAGAAATATAGATAAACACAAGTAGGAGGTTGGTTGTTATTTTCGCATGAAAAGGGATCTGCATGGACTCGTGTGTAGGGGCTATATTAGTTGTCAGCTTAGTTTTGGGAGTTTCAACTTTGACTTAGTGAAGAACACAAACTGCCATTATAGAAGCCATAGATATGGGAATTCTGTAGATAACAGACCAAGTCTAGTAGAATGAGCATCTTCACTGCTCAGGGTGCACTATACATACTGCAATCCTACCCGTGCCTCGCTTTCTATCTCGGGCTTCTCTAGGAGGGTAGTAAAACGAGCTAGCTCAGCTAGGTAAAAGCAATAAATTAAAATATAGTTATCTGTACTCGCCTCCTCCACCACACTGATTTCTTTCCTTTCATATCACATTGCTATTGGCCAGGCTTATGGGTTGCTAGCAAAGCTAGAGGCCGAGGAGAAAGATGGTCAAAATACAGTAAAATGGTGTATAAGTATTATTACGTTTGAAGCACTGGGCCCTTCCAGTTTATTGCTTCTTCTACATGGAACCCAAACACAAGGCGATAAAGGTCGCATAGCCAGGGTAATTTTCCACGTTGCATCATTTCTTGGACGGCACTTGATATATCCAATGCACTCGCCTGAGCCTGTGGGCCAGCATTTTGGAACACAGGGTCAAATCCAACGAGTCTTTTGTAATTTGCAAGAAGGGATATTTGCCAAGGCAACGAGCCGAATGCATCCGATGAAAGAGATTTTACAAAGGATGATAGACTCTGTGGTCCGTTGCGTTGGTAACCGCTGTTCGTTGCGGCCTTTGTCACTAAGATCCTGAGGCATGATACATTTGGATCATTAGTCGAAATTGTCACCGTGTTTGTCGAAGATATATGTTCAAAAGAGTGGGTTTGCGTCGATGTATTGGACGAATTGGACGAACATTTCACATGGGAGTTGTGGGCTGGCGATCCCTGACTTAAAATGAAGATGTTTGGAATTGGCTCTTCGTCAGGAGAAATGGCGGTTGCGTCCTCAAAGATAGTTGTTGGCGTTTCAGGCTGCCGATTTGGTTCATGCAACTCGCCTCTGAGGCTGTGCCGGGGTTGGCTGGTCTGCTCAATCTGATTAAATATCGCTTGGCTCGGCCGCGGCGTCCCACGATCAGAATCGCGAAGGCTCCGTTGCGTCGTCCACCCTTCCCGAAATATATCGCAAAGTTCCCAGCAAGCCTGAACAGCAGAACCGAGTAATTCTTCGCTCAAACGACCTCCCTCTTTCTTACTCTGACGTATGCTGAACAACATCTCCGCCAGTGACCAGCATGCGCTTAACAAAGAGTCCATTTCCGTCACCAGAGCTCTTTGCTTCATGAGACGATGACACAGTGTAATATAGAAATCTAATGTCCTCTCCCTAAACGCATCGGGCAGATCTCGATCGTGCGTGTTATAGAGGTGGTTGTTGAGTTCAAAGCTGACGCGAAGGACCGAATCCGTTAGTTCATTCTCATGAACTCGATTGTCAAACAGTGTTTGACAAAATTTTTGGCAGAGATCAAGTGTAGGGCTGATTTGATATGTGTAGTTTTTGTTTTGGCAGGTGTAAAGTTCCTGGCATAGCCGCCAGCATGATTTCCAAGCCTCTTCTTGCATGTCAGCCCCGATATTGGACCGCTGTCGGTGAATATAGCTCAAGCTGGCTAAAGTATTGCAAAGAGACCAACATTCAGCCAAGGCAATCTTCAATGTCTTCAGTTCGGTTTCTCCGTCAGAGAAGTGCTCAATCGTCAGGTTGAATGTTCCTGTCTCACCCACTTGCAGGCCGGCCTTCTTGGGACCAGCCCCTTCTAGTATATCTACTATGCTTTCAGTGCCGGATCTGGAGATCGTTGCCCCGTAGGCCAGGGTGGGTGGCTACCTTACCCTCAAGATTGCCCGAGTGCGATTTTTCGTCGAAGTCTCGCATTGTCTGCGCTCGGGGAGTCGCTTGCTCGAACCAGTCTTTCGTAGACTCAATCGCAGTAGTCAATGGTGACGGCGATGATGGATCGTTAGAAATATTCTAACAGGTTTAGTTTACCCGAAGAAGACATTAAAAGGAACTGAGTACCTTTTCTGTTCCGTCGAAAATAGTTGGGGGAATATGATGGTGTCTTTCCCTCTCGGAATGCGCCAAAGCATCTGATCGAGATGTTTGTTGCGAATATATAATCTACGTTCGGTACGGTTCAGCAAAACACGTCGCATGGGCGTCAAACGTATACTCAAGGAATACCCACAAAGTCATTGAAGCCAGGGGGTGCATGTATAACAGATTTTGGAGGCTCATCATCATCATCGGCCTCTTCCAGGCTTCCTTCGACGTTACTGTGACTGGAACTTGCTAATTGTATCTGTTATGGAGCTCATGTTAATCAGATATTCTGAACCTCTATATTGCTTTCGATGGTTTTCGGCGGGCCCTCTATACATACTGCAAATTCCGGTCTGCTGGTATTGTCAGGCTGCAGTGAATAAGAAGTAATTGTAGATGTGACCGCCAGCCCGGTTTCATTATCATCCGTGCTTAGAGTATCAGCGCTTGTCCCAGCGGGCATAGACGGCAAGGGAAGGAGATGGGGATTGCTCGTTAATCTGATTTTTGATATAGACAGATAGTTATCGGTAGACCTGCCCTGGTCAACCACAAGCAAGCAATATATCAGACCTCACTTACATTCTGATAGAGCTTAGATCAGAGGAGCAACAATACACGATGGGATTCAAAGGTCAGGATATGGTAAACAAGCAGGTATCATATTGTAGCTATCCCCAGGGTTAGATGATTGATAAGCTTACACCTTCAACATGCCGTGGGCAGATGTCTCAATACCAAAGCTGTAGACTAAATGGGAGTATGGTATTCCTATTTGCATGTTTGCACCCGCCCGAGGTACTGGTTACAAGCGTTGAAGGGGGGAAAGGCCCCGCGCGCTATTTCAGGGCATCTAATTAAATCCTTGTCTGCTAGCTAAGACCTCGATCCTACCAGACCTTAGACAAGGCTTATAGAAAGAATAGATGTATTGTTAGCCATAAGGGGGTGTAGTCGTATAAGAGTGGGGGGTGCCACCAAAACCAGTACTCAAGCTATGGATATGGACATTCGATGGAACGACGGGCATCAGGATATACTTGATACTGGGAGGCAAATCAAGTACCACGGCAGCACTGGCCGAGACATGCAGGGCGGCAAAGTGCAATTTTTTAGTAAGCCGAGAATATAACGTAACCGGTAAACGAGCAGGCCACGCAATCGGGCGGGCCACCACACCGCTATACTGAAATTAAAATCAGCCAAAATATTATCAATTTTTATTTATATAGAAAAATAAGTGGTTCTATTAATTTAAATAGTTTATAATTTTATAGCTCTATATATTACAGTTAGAATATCTAGAGAATATATATCTAGATTCCGATTTAGTAAACTGAGTTTTCTCTATCTAAATAGCTGTTACGGACCCCGGACTAGTACAGTATTAACAGATAATATACTGGCTATATTAATAATAAGAACAGTAAATATTATTAACAGCAGAATATTATTCAAGTAATAATATTCCAGTATATAAATATTATTGAGTATAGAATATTGTAACTATAATAATATTAAGAGTATAGTCAATTTT